GTAAAGCTACTTTATAAAGCAGCTTTTCTAAAAGACGCTTTTATAAAGCTACTTTCAAAAAGAAAGCATCTTACTGTTGGTAGTGCGTCATTATATCGTTATGCGCCACGACGATTTCGTAAATGCGTAAAGTCGCTTTCAAGGAATCTTTGGAAGGCTGAAGAAGTCGTCTATAAATATGAAAGGGGTCTGAGCAGTGTTATCGAGGCGCAAGACGCAATACGGGGCGCAAAGGTCCCTTACACGCACCATGCGTAAGGCGCACAACGAGGCGCGCGCCTCACTAATTGAGGCGCATAACTCAAACTAATATTTGCCAACATCATAAGACAGAAACATATAAGCAACATATTAGTTACCTACATCCAAAATTATGAGAATATCAACTTAAATCATCAAATTATGCTAACTGAATTTTTAAAGTAACAAAAAAGATACAAGAAACATGTATTTAAATCATCAAATTAAGTGATTAACAATTATGAGCATATGTTTATAAATTGTCACATAAAAAACTAAGAAATATAATTAACAAACATGACTGTTCATAATTTTCTAGTTAGTATTCTTAATTGATATTTGCTACTTAGCATGAAAAGATGAAGAATGAATGTAACAATTACATATTTACATGTTCATAATTTGTTAGTTAGCATGCTAATTAGAGAAGAAAGTTACAATTAGCAAACAAGTATACTAAATTACTAATTATTGTTTCCTTTTTATAGGTTAAACATGAAAAGATGAAAATAGATTAGCAACTAGTAAGAAAGAGTATATTACATGATATAAATATGTAATTATGTAAATTATTTAAAAAAATAAAAGAAAGAGTATGTTACATAACGCAGGTGTGAGGCGCACGTGAGGCGCATGTGAGGCGCGAGCGAGGCGCACGTGAGGCGCGCGCCTCGCTACGTGCAGCGCCCCGCCTTGCGTGCGGGGCGCATTTCCCCCAGGCCGAAGCGCCCCGCGCCCGGGGCGCGCGCCTCAATAAGCCTGGGTCTGAGAGTTAGAAGAGCGGAGTGAGAGAGAATAAAAATTAGTAAGAGTAAAGTGAGTCTGTAAGAAAAATCCTCTGTAATATAAAGTGTGCCTCTTTGTAATATATCTTGGATAATAAAGATTATATTTTGAGAATCGGTCGGCGAACTCTGTAAGTCTTCTTTCTTTCTGTTGTTTGCTTCCGCTTACTTTTGGTATTATATATATATATATATATATATATATATATATATATATATATATATATATATATGAGATTAATGGGCATCATATGTCAAGGAGCGGATTTCCTCCTTGAAAATGATGTGGCACAATCCCCACCTTGTGAATAAAGTAGGAGAGAGATATCACATGATGGGGATTGTGCCACATCATTTTCAATGAGGAAATCCCCTTCTATGACAAGGATACCCTTTATTCCATTATATATGTGTGTGTGTATGTGTGTGTGTGTTATGTATGTTATATATACATATATATATATATTATATATATATATAATATGTACACACACACACACACACACACACTATATATATATATATATATATATATATATATATATATATATATATTATATATATATATATATATATTCACATATGTGTGCGTATATATACACACACACATACACAATACATATATGTATGTATATACACACACACACATGTACATATGTGTATACATATATGTACATATGTGTATACATATATATATACACACATATGTACATATGTGTATACATATATGTATATACATATATATGTATAGATGTATATACATATGTACATATGTGTGTATGTACATATATGTGTGTGTGTGTGTACACACACACACACACATATGTACATGTGTATACATATATGTATATACATATATATGTCTAGATGTATATACATATATACATATATAGATATATGCATATGTGTGTGTGTGTGTATGTGTACATACACATATGTACATATGTGTGTATATACATATATGTATATATATAGGTATATACATGTGTGTGTGTATAATACTGAATACTTCTCACTTTTATTCATCCTTCTTTGATTCTAAGAAAAAAAAAGGCAATTACACTAAGCTTATTCATAAATGATTAGCAACGAGCACTGTCATAACTTATCCTTTACTGACTGATGCTAACTACTTTCTACTCATACATTTCAACATTGTCTATATACGTTCGTCCTACTGAATAATTCAAATATTTAGATAATTATATGTAAGGTTGTTTATCAGCTATACATTCAGCTAATAACCTTTTAACGTATACCTTTGAGGCTTTGAGCATGGAGCTGAGATGCCTTCATCCAATTCAGACAGATATTTTTAATTTAAAAATAAAGAAATAATAACCCAATTTTGTTAACTGAGTTTAGCGAGCACCATTGAAGGAGGCTCTTCTTTGAGAGAATGCAAGGGCTGAAGCCCAATGTACAAAGAACAAAAAGAATGTTAAAGAAAACATGGAGATCAGATGTTAACTGCTCATCATTGGGTATGCTCATGGCTATGAGAACATGGATGCTTGCATCAAAAAAATAATGAGACCACGTGACAATTTCCAAACTCTAAGGTTTCTCTCAATGAATTATCCAATCAATAAAAGTTGGTGCCATGAGGGGAAATGACAGAAATCATGACCCATGTCTTGGATATATCACGAAGTAGCTGACAGTTCCTCCCTCCCAAGTGTAACACACTAAACAAGGAACACAAAACTATGGAGGTTGCATTCTCGGTTCATAAGAGTATACTCTCAATATCCCAAGGATTTCATGCATGGTGATAATTTGTAGGCTGAACACTTGCAGGAAACCCTAGTGGACTTAAGAAGCCATTTGGAATTGGGAGGATGTTATATCAATACGAGAAACTACACTTTTGTTCCTGTAAGGACTTTCCCAACTCCATTTTACATTTTATATAATAAGAGAAAGTGAATTGGACATGCAAGAAAATTAGGACATAAAACTTGTTGAAAACCATTTTTCCCTGAAAGAAAGTAAGAATGAGTCAATGATATATCATCAGCAGCAGCAGCATTTTCTAGCCCTTCTACTAGATCAAAATGGGGTTAATGTAGAGCACAAGGCTCTGCAGAAGATTTGACAGAATTTACAAGTTGTTACCAGCCTAAGTCTCTGAAAATCAACCCCATAACTGGTGGGGAAAAAATTATGGACAAGGGACTATGGACAAGAGATGAGATCTGAATAAGACTATGTTATTTAAATTTATGCAGCTAAATTATAGAAACTTCTAAGTGTATGAACATATTCAACTGTCATGCATGCAAAACTGGAATCTGAAAATTTCATCCATATGTATGAGAGAATGGGATTAAGGCATACTGTAAGCAAAGATTAAAGATCAAGAATGCCCCAGCAGTAGAAAGTCCATTGCATGAAAAGCATTACCCGTTACATACTTGTTATGTTGCATTATGTAACCCAACAGATGTTGAACATTACATAATCTGTTAAAATAACTCAAATACATTCATAACTCTACGTTGTCACTATATAACATGCATTATTTGAACATAACTTACGTTATTTGAATCAAGGTTTTAAATATCTTATATCCGACCAAATTCATATCAGAATATGGATATCCGGGAAATATTAGGATATGTGATAAATATCGGAGTGCTATCGGATGATGTGCAATGATGATATAATGCCCTAAAATGTAATCTGAACATACTTAATGAAATCTAAGCATACAAATATGTAAATAATACATGTTTAAAATCACTAATCAACCTTTTAAAACAAATAAAAGTCCAAATCGACATTGCAACATTTTGTTTGTGTGTGTGTGTGTGTTTTTGGCCAAATATCACTTGATATATGGGGCAAATCATGATATGTTGCCCAAAAATTGTCAAAAGCAGTATATTATTTTGTGACAAGTCATACAAAGGACATACTGGCCAATGAATCAGTCATGTTGGGTACATGTCGCCCAAAAACTACCAAAAAACAGTAAAGGATATTTGGACCATATCGTTTTACAGTAAGCCTTGTAAAAGTTATATCAGCCAATATATAGGGTCATGTCGTGGATATTTAAAACAATGACTTGAACATAACTTGCGTTATTACAATGCAACTTGCATTATTTCAATATATTTTATTATAAAGGCCTACGACTATCTCCTTTCTTAAAACTTGAAATTACATGTAATTTTTTATTGTTTGTTAAGCCTTCATTGCTCATTTCGGTGACATCGTTATGTGATTGTGAAATTATGAATGTCACTAAGAAAATGATTACAAAATAATGAACGAGATGTAAGTATGTGATTATATAATTGATATTCTATTGTAATACTTGTTAGTAAATTTGTCAGTAAATCTACAGAGCTTGTATGAAATTAAGAACTTATATTGAAATAATTTTTTTGTATCTTGAACTTTTGTCCTTAATTCTTAAATTCATTATGAACATTTTTATATTGTTTAGATTAAACAATATAAAAATCCATAACTATTTATGCATTGTGCTTTAAGCTATCAAGAGGCATTAAGTTATAAACAATGTATTTTTCCACATTGCTTAACACTAGAGTGTTTTCTTTAAATTTTTTGTTTTTAAACTTAAAATACATGTTCTTTTGGATTGGTTATTAAGCATTTATGACATATTCTTGTTGAGAAATTATGATGACTGATGATATATTTGATAATTGTGATGTTATATTTGAAAAATGTGATGATTCTATTTATCATCTTGAAATTTTTTCATTAAACATTTAAATCAATAATAAAGCACGTAACCTACATTATTCATTATGCTATTTTGCATTTTTTACATTTAACCTTAACAAAAGGTGGAGCGTTACATTATGCATTATCATGTTTTCAACATCAAGCGTTATGAAGAAGTTGGAACCAGAAAAGGAATCCTTAATGCAATATGAGTACACAAAATAGTTCAGCGTTGTACCGAATTAATAGCCACATGACAGAATCGGTACCTACATGCACACCATCAGTTCTCATGTATGTTATCAACCCTGTCGCCTCCCCATTTGAAAGTTTAATCCCCTCATATAACCCCTGAGCAACCTGTCGAATAGTATACTAGTCATATGAGCGATGTAAAAGTACAATAACCTTGAATTTCAAATGGAGAAAAAAGGATTTGACCTACCAACATAAGTTAGCATCAAGAAATCACAAGACAAGAAGTGCCACAAGAATCAAGCATGCCTCTAGATAGTTTCAAATAACAGTACATATAAAACCAAAGTTGTGGATGCAAAACAGACTAAGCCCATAATTTAAATAAAATAAACTAAAATGAATTGGTGTAAGGGAAAATGTTTACTGAGATGATTTGATGGCATAAATAGTTGATGTCGAAAAAAATGAACACAAAATTGACTGCAATTTACATTCGAATGGTCACTGCAGTTTACAACTGTACATCAGGAAAAGGATATATAATCCTTTCACAGTTTTCAGGTAAGTGGTCTCCTATAAGATTATACACAAGGTAATGCTAGCTCCAAGGTTCCATGATGGCAGAGAGATTAAGGTTTAAAGAGTAAACACCTAATTGCACATCTTAAGATGATTGTTGATACCACACAAATACACCAGAATAAGCACATGAGGGGCTTGAGGAGTAATCAGAATAATCACCAAGTCACCAACTATATTTGAAGATGCTGGATCCGAAAAAGATGAGCACAGTAATAGACAAGCAAAGTTGGAAGCACATATCAGTCCAATAAACCCCAAACAACATGTGAAAAAGTTGTATGTATTAAATTTTATGTGAAATCATCTATTTTAGAAGATACGGTGTTGGAAGCTCTAAGTAGCAAAGTGACCATAGGTCCATAGATAAAGAGAAAGGAGAAAACGAGAAAATGATTACAAACAACCTTGTACACACCTGATTTTACGTGCACTTCTGCCAATAGACATCCAAACTCTGCTCAATTAATAACTTAATTAAACTACCCTCATTAATTACAAGTGTCGTTGGGAAACTAAGGTTAGCACATATAATTAATGATGGTAGTTTGGGTAATTTGGGTATTAATTGAGCAGAAGTTGTCAAAAAAGTGGTTGATTGAAAACTAAAGCTACTTATAAGGTGGTTTACATAAAAAAAACTTCAAATGTGGTTCCAATCGATTCAACCTATTTTAAAGGTGGTTTTCATGAATACACCCAAAAGATTACTTAAAACTATTTTCTTCATCAGCTACAAAAACAAAAACAAGCAAGGTCTCAGGAACAACAAGGAATATGACTCATTGACTATAAAATCGTAAAAAGGAAACTGACCTTCATTGTATAGCAAGCTGTAAAATGCAACTGATTTGATGTATGGCATGGGTGGATTTTTCACAACTCTGCTTATTCTTGTGGCAAGCACTTCAAAATTTGAGGAAGAAAGCCGCTTTTCAATTTCTTCTGCCTCTGCGCGAGAGCCTATAGACATGCGATCCAACTTTTGGGAGTTGAAATGTGTCAAATGTGAAAAAATTGAAGCTTTTCTCCTGAGTGAATCCAAACACGTATTATGAAATTCTACTCCAATGGTCCAGTATTCTTTCTTCTTAAATTTTTCTATCTCCAACTCCCTATCACATATGAGAGCCAAAGCAGCAGACTGAACTCGTCCAGCTGACTGGCAGCCAGGTAACTTTTTCCAAAGTAGGGGTGATATGTTGAATCCAATCAAATAATCAAGTGCTCGGCGTGCAAGATAAGCATTGACCAAGTTTTTGTCAATCTCCCTAGGAGCCTGTAAAGCACTTTTTATTGAAGACTCCGTAATTTCATGAAAGACGACTCTTGCCACAGTAATGTTTTTCCTCAAGGCATCTTGTTGCTGCAACATCTCTGTAATATGCCAAGCAATTGCTTCTCCTTCGCAGTCCGAATCTGATGCTAGGATTAAATTTTCAGCTCTGGGATATAAGAACATGCCATGAAAGTAAGCCATACAAAAATGATACAAGACAATGTAATAAATAGAAAATATAGAATACTAAAGGGATCAAAACATGCATGTAGAGACAAGTATCAGTTATGAACCATAGGGAAAATGATAATCATACTTTCTGAAAAACAAGTGAACAGCAGCATATAAAACAAGCTGGAGGATTAGGAAGTTACATCAAGAACTGATGCATCAAATCTAGTCTATAATTTAACTTGGGAGGAGCTCGATAGGACCCTCTCCCTTCTCATGTCTCAAACAACTAGGTGCTTTCAGGTTTAACCCTTCTGCTTTAAAAATGATAACGGAACTAAATAAAGCAGTGAAAGTCCCAATCGCCATAGCTTCTGTCGCCATAGCTTCTGTCACCATTCACCATGGTCATAGATGTTAGAGCATAGCCTCAACCCCATAATGACAAAGTGCTGGGTATGTGGCGCTGAGTAGTAAAACCAACATCAGCAACATTCTTACTCTGTCTAGACCAATGTTTTAAAAACCGTCCGCCTAGCCCACCCAGGCATACGCCTAAGCCTAGGTGGTACCCAGTCTGCCTGCCTAGTGCCTAGGCGATACCGAGGTTGCAACCTAGGTTTCGGGAGCACCTAGGGGAGCGTGGTCTGCTTATATGGACTGCACCTTTGAGGCCTTGATAGTAATTTCCTCCGTTGCAATCTTCATGTCCTCCAAACTCCTTCAGTCTCCAATTTTAAACACTTCTTTTACCTCCTCCAACCTTCAGCAAAACCTCCTCTGCCTTCAGCAAAACCTCCTCCACCAATATTTAAACGAAGAAAGAAATCTACCTAGGCATCATTCCAATGCCCAAGCTTTCTATAACATTGGCATCTACTATCAATTATTGTAATTAAAAAATTAGGAAAGCCGCCTAGGCCCTGCCTAGACTCCTGCCTAGACCCCTAGGCTCTCGGCATCGAGTCCAACGCCTAGGCCGCTAGCGCTTTCAGTAACCTTGGTCTATACTATTTTGCAACTACATAGTACGAATACTTTGATGAAGGAGAAGTACCCCATGCTAGATACGTATATGATATTTTGATATTCTCACATTTGATAGATATGTGTCACATACTCCTTTAACATATCGTAAAGCTTGCAGCATAATCTAGACACAGGAACATATCATAGAAGTACAAGAGAGTCAAGAGACTCAAAAGTTAAATTATGATGAGCTATTCATGTCTTAGTTTTCAAAAATCTATCATACTGTCATGTCCAAGTCATAACCATATCAAGTATCTTGTTTCCCCACTTCAGAGGTCCGCACCATGTATGGTTTTCTTTCAGTGATACCATCCCAATGATTTGAAAGTACATGATGCTCATACCACTACAACATGCAGTGGAGAAAAGTAGCAAGCAAAGTTCTAAATGTCAGATGTTGGGGAGATGTCGGAGAGAAAATTTCATATCTAATGGTGGATATCAGGGATATATCGGAATAGTTGATAAATATCGAAGTGTCATATCGAATTATGTGCACATATATCATAGATGTTCATAATTGATGCACAAAAGAATGGAGCTATCGAGGTGTCTTTTCCAAAACTTTTGCAAAAGATTGGGACTCATTTGATCTCTAATTCTTTTTTCCAGCAAATGAAATATGCAGATATTTGTTGGGGATAGACCTCAACTGAACCATAAATCCAAACGAAATGTCTAAAGCAAATAAAGGCTTGAATCTACATTGCACATTTTGGCTTTTTTTAGGCCAATTTTCAACAGATATATCAAGAAAGTCACGACAGATTTCCAAATTTCTGCCAAAACCGGTAAAAGAAAATGGGACCATTTTTTTCGAGTAAGACTTACAAAAGGACATATTGGTTGATATATCGGTCAAGTCAGGGATGTTTAAAACTGTTGCACTAAGTGTATGTAAGCTAAGACTACTCTTTAAAGAACCTTTATTTGGTACTCCACTTACAATATGAAGTGAACACAAACGTGGTATACCCAATTGCACCCAACTCCTTGCCGGAGGAACAAACTCCCCATATTTATCAATGTAATTCGCAGTAAGCTTAAGCATTCATGCACTTAATGAAACATATAAGAATCTCAAACAGGGGAGGGAAGAATGTGGTAAAGATTAGTAAGGTTAGTAGGTTAAGACAGAATAAAGATTCTATTTTCTAGCACTCTAAAGATATAAGAGGAAGGTCTTATGTGAAACCTGCTCCGCATGGGAGGTGATGTTGTGCCAAGCCAGAAGGTTGTCGTAAGATGAATATTTATGTCTCTAGCAGTGAAGATATGGAAACTGTCCCGAGCATCCAAAAGCATAAAGCTTTTGTTTTGAAAAAAAAAATATTAGAGTCCTACTATCCTAGGCTGAACTTTTAGATGTTTGAAGTACTATGCAAATCAAAGGTTATCTTCAATGACACAACCATTACATCAAAACTTTGCAATTGTGGTAAGGATTGTGGGTTATACTTTTATATTAATTCTAACACACCCTCACAAGTTGAGCGCTTTTTTTATGGATCACAACCTGGACTCACGCAACGGTGTCAATTTTTTTAGAAAATCCGCTTTTACTTCGTGGTAGGTGGAATTTGAACCTGGGTTGCTCTGATACCATCTTAAATGACCAAACCATTACATCAAAACTCTGAAGTTGTGGTGAGGGTTGAGGGCTATAATTTTATATTAATTTTAATCCGTTAAATAAAGAAATTTAGAGTTTAGGGAAAAGAAATTAGATGAAAGCGCATAAAGTAAAGCAAAATAAGGAAAAAGCACCCCTCAAGGAGGGGAGGTGGAAAACAAAAATTTGTAAATCAAAGAGTGAGATGAAGAAATTTAAAGTTTATGAAAAGAAATTAGATAAAGGTGCAGAAAAGTAAGGAAAATAAGAACTTCTTTTCACTCTTGGATGGGAGGTGGATGAGAAACAAAATAACAAAATACAAAACTCTCCTCAGCGTCTATCTTCATAACACCAAGTGGTCAGATATAATGGTTAGCCTACAGTAGGCAAGTTTGTTGAAACAGCCCCAACGGTATATGCTCTGAACTCTGGATTGATAAAACATAGAGAGGAGGAAACAACGGTCATATAGAACGAACAACTAACATAATAGGATTCCTTAGCAAGCAACCTAATTACCTTTTACAGCTGTCCCTTCAATCTTGTGGACGTTTACATGGCTGGAAAAGATTTTATAACTAGCTACCAGAACTATTATTCCATCTTTTTCTCTTTATTGGAGCAGCTGAATGCCCCGTTATAGCTTTATCCAGGTACATGTTTTCTCAAATAACTACTTACCAAAAATGAGTTAAATCATAGATGTTTGAGAGAAAAATGCAACTGAAGGAAGACAAATGGCTTTTATGGTCAAGTCCGGTTACTAAAAACCAGTGTAGATCCCATTGAATTTGTCAAGCTGGCAAAAAATCAGTGAAAAACTAGCACATTCAACCAAAGAACACTACTTTTGTTTGAAGGATGAGAAACCAATTAAAATACTTGATAAAGGAGTGTAATAACTGCCAATAAAGCAAATAAGATTGAAGAGACTTACCCATTTAGTGCCACCTTAATGCTCTTCAGATGTGTCCACGCACTAGAAGGTACCTCCCACACCATGCTGAAGTCGTCATCAGGCCGTACAGATCCTGATCTCCCAGCCAAGTCCCTCAGATGACCGTGACTAGGAAGTACCTCATACATGTTTCCTAGATAACTCTGGATGACTCTGGCTTTTGTTACTGACTCCACAACCACTACCGACTTACCAGATGGTGGATAGAGAGGTCTAATTTTCTCTGAAATTTCGGAGCCTCCAGAGGAAGAATTGGTACTGTTGCTTTCGTCTAGCTCAGATGTACCGCTAGCATTTATTGAGTTCTCTTTTGACGTTTCCTCTGAACCCCTCATCAACAATGCAGCAGCAGAACTGTCAGAAAGCTCTGCCTCATGTTTGTTATCCCCAAGCTCCTGATTCATTTTTATCGGAGACTTCGCACTTTTAACCTTATCGTTGCTCTTAGCTGCTTCATCACTCAAACTATTTTGTACAGACTCCTTTCCTGCTTGTTTCTTATTTCCAGACTTCCAATCCCTTCTTACCAGAGTTTTAGCATTCCGGACATTAATATTGGTTGTTGCTTCTTTATTGCCTGAGCGATCTTCATTTTCTTTCCTTTTGCTATCTGCATCTTTACCCGGAGCACTAACAGATGTACTAGTTTTGGTCATGCCTTTTCCCCTAGAATGGTTAGGGTGTGAAACTGAAGCATTTACATGCCCATTGATAGCATTGCATACAGTTGCTTTATCCCTCTCCCCTGACCCACGATGCACCCTCACTGTAGGGTCGCCATACCCAGTCTGCTTACCTCCAATAACTTCACTGTCAGAAACTTTTTCTGATGTTACTCTAAACTTGAAGTTTTTCCTCTTTGATGAAAATGACCTCATACTCATAAGTCCATGTGCCACTGGATTCAATCTAGAATCATTTCCAGATTTAAAGATATGTCTAGAACAAAGAGTCTGAATTTGCAAGTGTGAGCGAATGTTTATAAGGGCCTGGGACATATAAGGATCTGTCTGGTTCACCGTGATATTTGTTTTTAACCTTAGCTGTATCGGCTTCGCATGTAGTCTATTTTGCGCAAATAGCGAGCATGGTTGAAAGTTAAATGAAACTGTTTGCATCGTATGGTGTGGAAGCTGCCAAAAAAAATCAAAAGAAATTTTAAGTACGTGCAAGGATAATGCATTATGAATTAGATACTAGATTTACATGATTTGAGATAAACATGTGCAAATACAAAGAAATTTGATATAATATTGTAGTAAAAAATTGAAGGATGCGTTAATATAAACATTAGGATAAGTTTAATGCAAAATCTGTGTCTAATGGATAATAACTGGGTGGTGGTGACACTATATGAAGAGAGAGGGAGGGGGTTTGTCCCTTGATAAAAAGGGAGGCAGTGTTATCAAGGCTCGAGGCGCGATGTGGGGCGAAAAGCCAGCTAACTCGAGCATGCGCAAGGCACAAAGCAGTGCGCGCGCCCGAGTGAAGTGAGGCGCGCACTCCACACACCTAACTTTCAATTAATCATATTGTATGCAGGCTTCACGGAGTATATTACGTTACATAACTATTTTCTTCCTTCTTTACTGGTCAAGGATCAACAAGCTTGAACAAGACAAAGAGTTTTCTACAATCATTATATGTTACAAATAATTACACCCTAATTCGTCTTTACCAATGCTCAAGACAACAGTATAGTCCGATTCATCGATCATTAATACAGTTCAAAGCTCAAACTCCGAAGGTAAAGAGGTGAGAGAGCACGCATGAATAGAGGTGGCGAGAGGGCAGGAGCGACGCCAGAGAGAGCCCTAGTGAAAGGCCTGGCCTGAACGTTTTGATCGTGTTCAAAGTGGAAGCGGGTATCAAACCCGATAACCCATAACTTAACAAAGCAATCCTATTAACTTTTACGCCTTGCTTGGTACGCGGAATTGAGTGAAGTGAAAATGAAATGGAACTAACGTGATAGTGAAATACTCATTTTTATTCTAATATTTAGATGAAATTAGAATATAAAGTGAGAATAAGCATATTTAATAGTTATGTATTTGTTTGATTCTCACTTATGTGGGAATGATCATTCTCTATCATCTCATTGGGAATGTTCATTTTCACACCAAGTGGTAAATAATGAGAAGTGACAATGAAAGTTCTAGCTTTTGAAAAAATTATTGTGGTTATTGGGCATAAATGAGAAGTGGGGACGAACATTCCATTCACACCCATTCAACGTACCAAACAAAAGCGTTAATGGATACTAGGTTTCTTACCCAAGTAATAAAGGGTTTATCTTCTTTTACATGAGGCAACGTTTTAGAATGAATGAACCGTAGGAGGGGCTCGAGGCACTGTGGGGCGCACGCCTCTCTTTCGTGAGGCGCTCAGCGTCTGTTGCGAGACACTTTGCTGAGCGGTGTGGCCGGTCAACGCTTGAGGAACAAGCCATGAAGTGTCTTTAACAACACATAAGGATGTGGAGATGGCTTCATGGAAAGATAAAGGATGAGTGGAAATAGAAGTGGTAGCATATGGAGAGATGACATAGAGGGTAGAAGTGACCTTTGAACAATCGATAAAGTGGGGTGCACATATGCATTAACAACTTGGTATTTTCTCGTTTCTCATATTACTGATGGTTTAAATCACACAGGTAAAAAGAGGAGGTAATAGGGAATGGGTTGATATGGGGGCCGCTCACTTTTCTGAATATCTGATTTGGAGTTGGACTGTTCGTCCCTGCACATGTAACAACTTGTAAGAGGATGGGGATTAGTTCCTCATTGTTCCTCCGACGATCAAGTCAGCTATGCGCTCGAGTGGGAATATGAGAAGTGCAACCGAATGGAGAAAAATGTTGAGAAATTGCTTACCTTTGGGGAATAATTTCCCCTTTTTATAGCTATGTAGGAGGGGCATTTTAGTCTTTTCCGGACGAGTCTGAGCTAGCGGCTGAGTTAACGTCGACTTTACAAGTGTCGGTCGTGGATCAGCCATGAGATGAGCACTATCATTTCGTCATTAATGAGATGGGATGGGCGGCGCGCGAAGCCAGCATGGTCCGATGTGTCATAAATAGTGTTAGGAATGGAGAAATGATGGCGTCTGCCAAGCATTTAATGTGACGTCGAAGCACTGTCAGTTGGGGAGGGTTCGTGGTTGAAGTCATCTTTTGGCTTGTAACGAGGGGTGTCGAGAAGTAACGCCTTTCGAGTCGCTTTTCGAGTCGACCCAACGAGGTGTCGAATAACTAGTCGAATGGACTCGCAACGAGTCGTCTTTGACAAGAGGACCGACAAGTACCACCCTTCGAGTCAACATAAGGAGATGTCAACTTGGCGAGTTGGCTAAGTCAGGATCCTGGCAGTCATGAGTGTCAATTTGATTGAATGGTGCATGATAAGGGACACCTATCCGTTGCTGGCAAAGGGCCATGATTTGGCGACTGAAAACACCATAACAGTTGATCCATTTCGCTTGGAGTCCTCTTGGGATGGATCCGAGTGAAATGAGAACAGCTCTGGACAGACGCGGTCATGCATTAAATGGGGGAACTAAAAAGTCTTTTCAGATTTCACGTGGCTAACGTCACCACACATTCTTTTTTATTACCACAGCTCTGTTATTCGTGCCAGATTGCAGGTTGTTCGAGGTTAGTGGGTTGCGCCTCAATCCCTAAGATGCCGCTTCGAATTCTAAGAGTTAATCTTGACCGTTGGCCAAATTCTGAGTTGGCCGTTCAGATTACAGCAGCTACGGATTCAGCTGCCTATATATAAATCTAGGGCCAGGGGAATGGCGGTTCGTTCAGATTACAGCAGCTACGGATTCAGCTGCCTATATATAAATCTAGGGCCAGGGGAATGGCGGTTATTGCTATAGTGTCCCGAAAAAGACGAAACGACGGATTGTCTTAACTGTTTTAGTTGTGAGAAGAGATTCTATCACCTGATAAGAATCTTTTTACAATCGTTCTATTCAAGTACAGAAGAGGAGAAGGTTGATTTTACTTCTCCTTTGTTTAACGTGGGCTCTGTGTGGCGATGAGATGTCTCGCTTAATACTCGTGTCGAGCTTACTTCTCGTTGATGATCGGAGCAAGATAGCTTTGATTCAAGGAGAAATTTAGCCTATTTCGAGTGCTTGATTTGCTCACGGCTGCTATCGGCCCTTGACGCTCGCGCGTCTTACTTTTTGGATCTCAAGAACTGAGGTTTGGATCTCCAAAAGAGCATAGGTAAATGCATGTAGCTCTCTCTCTCTGTGTGCCTCTCCAATTTTTTAGTGCTAACTCACCAAAAAAATAAATTGGCTTCTTCATAGTTGCTCACGGCTATTTATAGGCCTTTAGTGCGTAACTGACGCACTGATCATGGGATTAAGGAGTGTAACTGACTTCTTAAACTTAGTCCATGTGGGCTTCCTTGGTCTTCATTGTCGATATCCTTCAATCGTCGAGCCTTGCTTGATGAGACGAGCCTCACTGTGTGGCAAGGTTCGTCTGATGGGACGAGCCTCAATGCACAACGAGGTTCGTCTGACAAAGTGAGCTTCACTATATGGCGAGCTTCGTCTTTTGATGGCCGAGTCCAGCTGCATGGCGAGCCTCATGAACTTCCTCTGACGAACTTTGTCTTCTGAAAAAAGCTTTATCTTCACCGACGAGCTTTGTTTTTTGAAGGCGCTTAAGGCATTGAGAGCCTCGTTTCTAGGCGAACTTCATCTCAAATGACGAAGTTCATCTTCTGAGGGGTAAAGCATTGTTTGGCGAGGTTCGTCTATGGATGAACTTTGCCTCCTGAATGGGTTTCATCTTCGTCTATGGATGAACTTTGCTTCCTGAATGGGCTTCATCTTCAAGAGGAACTTTATCACTAGTGACGAGCTTCGAATCTCATCTCCAATGATGAGCCTCGTCTTCAATGACGAGCTTCGTCTTCAATGACAAGATTCGTCTTCTAGAGGAGCTTTGTCCTCAGTGATGAGCTTCGAACCTCATCTCTAATGACGAGCTTCATCACTATCTTGTTTCTTCGCATTTTTTTAGTTCCTATAAGACCTCATTCAAAGTTTTCAGAACCAACTTGGGTTGCATGGATCTAGAATACTTTGAATTCTCTTAGCTATGACGAGCTTGGTTTGCATGGCGAGATTGGCCTCTTGGCGAGCTTGGCTTCTCGGCGAGCTTGGCCTCTTGGCGAGCTTCGATGCTTCGGGGTGAACTTTGTGGTTTCAAGCGAAGGTTGTCATTTCTGGGTGAGCCTCGAAACTTCGAGACGAAGTTCGGCTATTTGTTGAGTCTCGTCGTTCTGTGCAAATTTTGTCAGACCCACGTGGGACTATCAATCAGGTCCTATCAGCATTAAATGTTGCAGGACTTCATCATCACCCCTAATCTTAAGTTGGACATCACCCCCATGAGCTATATCTCATAATTACTTTCCTTGACACTAGTTAAAAGTTCGTTCTAAATATATTTTTTTAACTACTTTAGGTTTATTTATCTTTCACACTAACGCAATGTTAATGATCTCACCACTCTATGGTCAATAAACTCTCATTGTCATATCTCACTGAGTTTGAAAATGAGTTTTTATAATAAAAACTATTCTCTAGTGAGATAGAGATATAAACTTTACAGAATATAGCACCCAATTGTATTGACATCTATAATTGGGGCACAACCAACATATCAATATATATAAAAGCAATATGAAGTGGTAGTGGACAACTAAAGGAATAAAAATGCAACTACACTAATTATATTTTAGTAAGCAATTTGCAACCCCTTGCAATGCTAGCTCCCTTGCAAATCATGTATTATTACAATCACATATACATAGGATGTGCAAGCCCCATTTATAATGGAAAAACTCATCTCGTAGGATAGGTAATAATATTGCATTGAATGTAAAATAAAAGCTATAAATAAAATAACTAAACTAAATAATCATACCCCCCACACCCGAACAAGGGCCTATACCCGTAGGCGTAGCCCATGATCGGTGAGCAAGTGCCTAAACCTGTAGGCATAGCTCATGCTCGGGGAGGGTAGAGGTCGTAAATAATACTATATTTCTAGTTATATTACATCAATACAATAAATGGAAGATAATCTTTGTCCAC